AAGCAATGTTTATTCGTTCCCCCTCCACTTTTGTTTAGTATTAGCAGGTGGTAACTCCTTTCATTAGTGGGTTTTAGAGGGTCACAGCAGCTGCATTCAGGGATGCGCAAATTAGGCTTAACGCCCCGTCTTGTTACAGCAGTTGATTTCTGCATCGCTTCTCAAGCATGCAGCTAGACTCGCGTCCATGGGAGAAGTGCAACATCGGATTTTTTTTTTTTTTATCCTTCTGTCCGAAACCACAGTTATACGACATTGGTTTTAGCGGGTCTTTGCCCCTTAAAAGTCCCCTTTTATAAGACTATTGTTCTGTTATAATCGCTGTTAAATTAACTATTGTTGGGAGGAAGCAAAGTTTGTGATTTGACAGATACCGTGATAATTATCAGAGGATCCTGCGTTTCTCCCTCTCATTGGCGGGTTACGGATGGCTTATTTGACGTTTCCTTTTGAAAATTCACTATGTGAGCTTTTTTATGGGGCCTTGACCCTTGCTACTAGATGATAAAGGCCCGATTAGCTACTTGTACCCCTTTAAGATCGCCCTTATTCTTTCCGTAACCTGTATTCATTAAAGACATGCCAAATATCAAAGGAACCGAATGTACGCTTGTTCCGAGAATTTGTCTTAGAATGGATTTTCATTCTACAGAAGCTTCAGGAGGGAGTTAATATTGTAATTAAAACATACTCAAAACCTAGGCAAAAACCTTTATACAAAACTTCGTGCAACAAGGAGAGAGATATCAGAAAGACACTCGTGCATTGTGAGCTCTTTGCATTAAAAATAAATTAAAAATATCACTTTTTACTGCGCGAAACTCGTTGCTAAAGGTCATAATAATTTAAAAATTACATTTAATTAATTAACAAATAGTTAGAAAGCGATTTCTTTGAATGTCCTAATTGTGGATCGTCATAAGTTAGCAGCACGAAACACCGTTTAATGCCCATTTTCTCCGGGTCCAAAGTAATATTTATATAAAATAATCAAAAGGAAACAAGTTAATTGTTTGTTTTTAAAAAGTATAAAAATGAAGAAAAGAATAGCCGCAGCAATTTTACTTTATTTCCTGACAAAACAGAGGGAGGTGACGTAATTTATAGTGGACATTCCTCCTTCGCGAATGATGAATGGAATGGTCAGTAAGGTGAATCACATTCGCCTTACTCCATCACCACAAGTGTCAAGTACAGGTGGGCCTCCACTGGGTGTCATGCACTGCCCTCGGGCGGGCCTGCCTCCTTATTTTGGTCTCTTTTAGCCAAAAAAGCGAACATCGAACAATTTTAATTGCTTTTATCTAATTTATGATTCAAATTCGGTGGGGGAAACGATCCGATTCTACGAGCTTACAGATAAATCAAGTTATAAAATTGGCCATTTTTTTTAATATTATTTTTATGGGTTTTAATTAAAATCGGATTAGCAACAGATTCTCGAATTTTTTCTCTGTTTTCTGGATAAACTAGAGAAATTTAGATAAGCTTAAAACTAATGAGGATAGAGGAGATAAAAAGATTTTTTTTTTTAAATAGAAGGGCACAGTTGTATAGTTTTAATTACAAGGAATAAAAATAGATTAACTTTTGTTAAATGTAGCATAAATGTATGATGCCAAGCGAAGATTTTAACAGATAAAATCACATTTCCATAAAAGATAAGCGAGATATGTGTACTGTTTCAGTAGCGTAACTAGAACCGATATTGGGAGGGGGCGAATTAGAAAGTGCAGAACCATTTCATCCCCCCGTACCACTGTGGATATAGCCACCAGCGCTGTGGATGAAGAGTAAACTCTTAGATATTGTATATATATACTCGTATAAGTGCTTTCTTATGTACTCATTTAATTCTTTCTTAATTTATTTTTTATTTACAGTAGGGCCTGGGACCTCCCTCTGTCTCCTCCCTGGTTACGCTAGTGTACAGTTTAAAAGAGACGTAGACGAAAGAAGTGTGTAGTAAAATGGAAAATAAATGAAACTGTATGATGGTTCATGTGTAACACTGAAAAAATGTATAGGGGAAGAGGTATAGAAAATCGAGACGACGTGAATATGAAAGTATAAAACAAGGGGAAAAAATCTATAAAATGAAATATAGAAGGATAGAAAATAAAATTAAAGAAAGGAAAAAACCCCTGTCGTAGATATAAGATAAATAGAAATAGAAAATGGGGAAGATAAGCCCCGAGGTCTATAGTAAATTGTGTATCTTTTCTATCTTGTTTCTGAACTTGAAAGCTGCTAATGAGGTTACTTTCATTTGTAATGCGCTCGTAAACGAGAAGAAAACGAGAAAAAAGAATTAGTTTTTCTTCTTGTTTTTTGTTTGTTTTTTTCCCTCCGCTTTTAAAAGCTTAAGTTCGAAAAATGCAATCAAAAATTGTTGGTTTTTACTTAAAACAACTTCATGCATAAACATACCTTTAGCCTTAAAGCCTCGCCCCTCAATCGATGCAATTATCATATAATTACCCCATTGCGTCCACACGCCAACAAGGCAAAAAAATACACCTCCTTATGCCTTCTGTCTAATGCCTTAGCTAGTATATTATACATAATCAACAGGCCTCATAAGGTTAGAGAATTTTTATTAGAGGATTTCTCAAGAGGCTCGTTTAGCTGTTCTCTTAATAAAGGATGTCTCCTTCTCTTATGAATTATAACGACTCATTCAGAATCTATGCAAGATTGGCGACACAATAACATCAAAACCCTATGCCGAAAGGGGGAAAAAAAAATAATAATAATAAAAAGTTTCGAGTTTAAGTAGTCTTTAGTCACGCTTTTCTAATTTTTATAATTTCTCAGAATTTCTAACACCAAAAATCAAGTTCAAGGACGTAAACAATCTATTGTCTGTGTTAAAATCACTTTTTAGAACCAGCTACTGTCTATTCGGTTTCGGATTTTTATAAAAATTAAAGAGCTTTTTCCATCTTTCAGAAAGGATAATTATCTGAGAAGCTTCTTGCACACAAAATCTAATGTGGAAAAAGAAAAAAGAAAGAGCCCACTGTGAGACAAATTGGCTCCTCGTGTCATTATTTAGACCCATAGACATAAATGCCGACTTACTTTTTTTTTTCTTCTTTGTTTTTGCCCTGTAATTGTCTGCTAGTCCTCTCTACACAGTCTCCAAAAGTAGGCCCTCCAAATCTAACCTCAAGATAATTAACTGTAGTTACAATAGTCGAAAACGCTGACCGAATCGTGTTGTTAGACCCTAATTGGAATTACTACACTGGAAATTTGACTAGGCCTTTTAATTTGTATTGTTTTATAGTAATTGAAATGCCTATTGCTTAAATTAAATGGCCTTAAAATAAGGCTTACATTAATTTATAAAACATCTCTATTGTAGCCTTTCATTTGATATTTTCTGTATAACTGTATTACATCGAGAGTTCAGGCCTACTTTAGTCGCTTTTGTTACAGTTTATTCTATCAAAATACTTCATGAATATAAGCCTAAAATACATGTAAGGCTTAGTTTTATATAGAGGCTTTAATTTCTTAAAAAGTTTAAGCAAAATCTAGCCTTAGGAGACTGTTGTAGGAGTTACTAAATGGGCCTATTATCGACTGCAAGTTGGGAAATTAACACGCGAATTAATCGAGGAAGCTATTTATCTATTTATCAGGATTAAACATGCATTTACTCACCGAAAAATCTTCTTTTTTGACGGATCTATATGAAGAAAAACACGACTTAGCTTTGGGCAAAAGCGGAACTACGCCCAGAGAAAGCTAAAATATAATGAGTCTTCCATAACTGTACTTTCCCTCATGTAAACAATGGAATAAGGGGAGAAGGAACCTTACCGTTGTTAAAGCACCTGGCTTTTTACCTGTTGGGCCTAAAACTCGGACCAATGGGACTCATATTGACGTTTCGCTTTGTAATTGCTACTTTTGTTTACTTATACAACTGCTACGGGATCATCTTCGGAATTGTACTAGGTCCAAAAATCGGATATTAATTGCCTTCGGGTTAGACAGGAAATCTTAAAAGTTAGCCCCAGGGATGACTTTCTAATTATATTTACTATGAGATTTTATCGAGTCAGACTCATAAAATTTAATGTAATTGAGTGGGCCTTTCTAGTTTTACTAGATGGGGCCCTAGCCGTGGGTTACACGCATAAAAACTCCGGTTACCTTCCTGATTTGACAATTGGCAACGTGATAAAAAAAAAGAGAGGTTTTTCTCTTAACTAAAGTCGAGTACCCCATAAATGAGAATTGCCTCAAAGAATACCTAAAGGTATATCGAATCCATGGGAAGATGCTTCAAGCACTAGACTCTTCTCATAGTCTCCATGTTGTTATAAGTAGTTTATTTCGCTATATATCCTATGTTATCTTTAGCTGTCAAACTGCATTTATCTTCGGGCCAAAATATATCTAAGAGGCCTAAAAACATGTTAAAGAGCGCTCTAGAACTAGTTAAGTGATACCTATAAAACGTCAACTATCCGATGATCTCTTTTATTAAACGTAGGCCTATCTTTTTAAATTGTTAATTCATGGGATGTTTGAGAAAAGTGAAATTCATTTATCAGCTCCCTACTTTCATTTAATCTCGATAAATCTATAAAGGAGGCCCCATCTGTAGATGTGTGTGTGTTCTAAAAAACACACACACACACAGGTGATAATTGCGAAGGTCATTAAAACCAATCTACACATACTGGCTCCTAAGGCCTACTGATAAATATCAGCCACTTTGCTATCTATCATCTTATGAGGCCTAAAATTATAAGACACTCACTTCCTCTGCTTGTCAAAGCATGATCAATGTTCTATGCATATCATCCTCATTTATCAGCTATTCATCCCTTCATTACTCTTAAGAGTTGCACATCTCCGAGCAGGTGGTTGGTGTCACCTGTCTTCTTGTCACATTTTCAACCGAAAAATTAGTATCGAGGCCCACTCGAATCGTAAAAAAAAATGCGCGCAAAATACCCGCGTGGCCTTTCGTAACTTACCTTTTACTATTCCTTCTCCTCCTCTTGGTGGCATACATAGTACCTAGATGGTTCATGGTTTCCTCCTTCCTCACGTGCACACACCAGGGATTAATAGAAAAAAAAACAAAAAAAAAACAAAAATACACACACACACGCTACCTATGTATATTAGCACAACTGTACACACTGAGTATGTTATCGATGCACATGTCTCCGACTGAAACTCGGTCGCGATAGACGCTTCCAAATTCTGGCCATAGTTAGGTCGCTTTTCTTTTTTAATATCACAGACACATCGTGATGGATCGGAGCTTTCTACTGTGCTCTGAACACGCCCACAGCCGCGTGCAACGACCAATGAACGGAGCCCTTACGTGACGCAGTATGGCGGGCGTTATGGCGGACGTGTAGTACAGTCGCTTCGCTACACCTCCCCAATGCTATCAGGTACGGTAGATACACTGTAGATAAGAAAACTCGAAGAGTAAAGTTAATCAAAACGATACGATTCACACCATTCTCAAAAGTCTGGGCATGCTCTTTAATCGCTGTTAAGCCTTTTTATTTATATTGTTTAATGCCTGGTATCCCGTAAAACGAGAAATTTCTACCGATTAAAAGACTTATATTCCCGTCACGTATACGCCATTGTCAGATTAATATCGAGAAAAATTAAGCGTGTAATTTTTTCTCTCATTGTCTTCGTACGTTAAGTAATATGAAAAAAATATATATATATTCTATAACGACGGTAAAAATGCTCGAATTAGGTTTATTTATGTTTTTTTTTTTTTTTCTTTTCAAAACGGCAACGTGTGGTGGCGGACGTAAATTCTGCTGGCAACCTTATTAACGCCCTCTCTCGGTAGATATTTGTACTAATAGGAAATATTTAAAAAAAATAAATAATAATAATTTTTACATTCGAATATATTTACGACATTTTTAATATTAAATTGCGAATATATGTATATATATATATTTTAATTATTTGAAATAAAATTTTGTTAACGTCGCGACAAGGTCGCNAAATTATGAAATAAACCGCCCAACGTCATCGATTTCAATTGGCAAAGGGCGCATCAGTTAATTAACAGAGACCAACCAGCAATTAGGAATTTGAATCGGTTTCGCTCGAATGATTCCTCCATTTTTTTTTTTTATGTTGTAAACTCAAGCCTGATTGGTTAAAACGGTTCCAAACTTCACAGAATTACGGTATACGTCGAAATTTCTCTTCCTGGAAAGCGTAGAGTCATCATCTAACGCGCTTCACGGATAAATTTCGCTTATAATAAATTATTTAGATATAATTTGACCTTCTTATATAAATAATTCAGTAACTTAAGCAACTTAAAACGTTTCTAAATCATGTAAACACGCTCCAGAACAATATACATGATGTATTTATAGCAACTTTGCTATAAATCTTCGATTTATTTTCGCCACAGACCAAGAAACTAAATTGTTTTTTTTTCTTTTTTTAAATAGTCGAAGTGCCTTGATATCAGAAGCGAACTAGCAATAGATCTGATCAGAAAATAGGAGGCCTATATAATTTATATATAGGGAGTTAATACGTTTCTAATTACAGTATAGCCCGAGGCTCTTTCTTTTAACGTTTTGATAACTTAGATGATAATCTTGTAAATAAATAAAGAGATAATCATTTATCAGTAATCTTGCCATTTTTAGTAAAAGTTTTGTAACGTTTCTCCAAGGCAATTTTCTTTAATTATCTAAGAAATTTATGTAATAAATAGAATTAAATGATTGTCTTATCTAAAATGCTTAATTATGATTTCATATAATAACTCTATGTGACTGTAATGTAAAGATTGTGAGAATATTCGCTTGTGTTTAAACTGTGTAGAATTTTAATATAAAAACATTATATAAAATCCCATATAAAACTTCAGTTTTATATGTAAGTGAAGGTTAATGTGTATTTTTGAATTTTAATGAATATATCTATGATTATAATTGTTTTAAATGACTTTAAATCTAGTTACAATTGAAATGCATACAAAATAACCTGCGAACAACGGCCTCTTTTTATGTTCTCGTCAGTGTCCATTTTTCACAGGTTTAAAATTTATTCTGAATAGTAAATTGCTGTAAAAAGAACTTCTCAATTATCATCTCACTTAAGTCTTACTTTTGTTAATAATTTTTTTTTATTTTAAACATGTCATTTTAATATGATCTTGCTATGATACAGTGTACATAGCCTAATCTACTTTTATACACATAATAGGCATATTTAAATAGCATTATGATTGTATAAGCATTATATATATATATATATATATATAAAGCAAAACTTTGACAAAATATTCTGTAAATAAGCTCTTGTAAATATTTTGTTTTAAATCTTAAATAAGAAGTATTTATTTATAATTTAATCACTAAAAATATAAGATTTATATGAATATAGGCCTTCATCCTTGCTTCAAAACTGTTGCTTCTTTCAATATTGTTTTTACTTCAATTAGGCTATAATTTATATCATAATAATGTTAAAGACTTTGAAATATGATTACCATTTAATTTTTTAAAGTGCGCATTCTTGTAACATTTGATTATTCATCTTCTCATCCCTTCATTCATATGAAGAATCATGATCTTCATTCCTTCATTTTCTTCATAATCAATGAAGTTTAATGAAGGATTAAATGCTACAAGTATGCATGTCTTTCTGTTTAATTCTATAGTTTTATATTGTCATGAATTATGTATATCTTTAGCATGTTGCTTACTAACAATGTTATAAAATTATAATCTTTTATATAGTAAAAGTTGATATGTATTATAATTAAATTTAAACATCTATAATAATTTGTATATATGTAAAATGTATGTAAGTTAATTACAATTAAACAGATTTAAAACATTTACTACAATTAAACTGCATGTACAGTACATATATATATATAAACACAAGTGATTACATGGAATTACATAGGAGAAAAACATTAGATTTTTATGTAGTTATATATAGTAAAAGAAGCTTAGTTACATAGAAAAAACTCAGTTTTTTTTTCTATGTAAAGGGTGAAGTTCTATGTAACTTCGCTCTTTATATAGAGAGAAAATGAAATTTAACCATACCAAATTCTTGAAGATGGTATTAAATTGTATTTTCCTGCATATAAAAAAATACAAAATTAAGTTTATTCAATATAACACGATAAAAAAAAAACTGTAATTTTTCTATGTAAAGGGGTGTAAAAAGTTAAATATAAAAAGATTAAATGATGTTTTTCACCTTTACCATTCCATATAGAGATATCAAATTCTGTTTTTCTCATGTAAGCTCACATTTTTTTCTTATATTATTAGCATTATTAAGTTATTTATATAATACAGTTTATCTATCCAGACTTAAATTCTTCATTTGTATAATTTTTTAAAATTTATTCTAACAAATTAGCAAGATAAATGATACACTGTCATCATATAAAGCCACATTTCTGGCTTTTTCAAGTTGGATTGCTATATTATAACGTGTTAATTTATGCTTATTTTTCCTTTAAATTGATAGAGAAAATTTATTAAAATTAATTAAAACTTTCGATTATTTTAGTAAAATGCAGTTTTTAAAACATTTTCAGTCCTGTAGCTGCTAAGATAGCGTTTAATAAAATACTCTTTTGATGCCCATGAGGCAGGAGAAATTTAATAAAATATGTAAATTTATCAAATTAAATTCGAATTTTTTGTGAAATTACCATCAAAATATGTATTGTAGTATTGTTTTATTTATTTATTATTATTAATTTGAAGTTACAATTAAGGGTAAACATAAGAAAAATGATGGGAATAAATTTTATTCTTGAAAATTGGTAGCATTTGAGCTAAGAATGTTGGGATTTCTAGACTTTGACACCCTTGGGCTTATCGTTATACGCTACTTAATTGTAGTAATCTGTTTATGGGGTTCATTAGTGGCATGTTACCCGTAGCGCCAGGGGCATGGGCGGTCCCGAGGCCAGTGGCACACTAACCCCACTGCTACTTAACTACCCAAATAACTTCCCTCTTGTCGGAAAAGAAACTCAAAGATTTGATTTTCGACTTTTATTTCAAAGTCCATTTGCAACGGGCTCTAGTAAATTATGAAATAAACCGCCCAACGTCATCGATTTCAATTGGCAAAGGGCGCATCAGTTAATTAACAGAGACCAACCAGCAATTAGGAATTTGAATCGGTTTCGCTCGAATGATTCCTCCATTTTTTTTTTTTATGTTGTAAACTCAAGCCTGATTGGTTAAAACGGTTCCAAACTTCACAGAATTACGGTATACGTCGAAATTTCTCTTCCTGGAAAGCGTAGAGTCATCATCTAACGCGCTTCACGGATAAATTTCGCTTATAATAAATTATTTAGATATAATTTGACCTTCTTATATAAATAATTCAGTAACTTAAGCAACTTAAAACGTTTCTAAATCATGTAAACACGCTCCAGAACAATATACATGATGTATTTATAGCAACTTTGCTATAAATCTTCGATTTATTTTCGCCACAGACCAAGAAACTAAATTGTTTTTTTTTCTTTTTTTAAATAGTCGAAGTGCCTTGATATCAGAAGCGAACTAGCAATAGATCTGATCAGAAAATAGGAGGCCTATATAATTTATATATAGGGAGTTAATACGTTTCTAATTACAGTATAGCCCGAGGCTCTTTCTTTTAACGTTTTGATAACTTAGATGATAATCTTGTAAATAAATAAAGAGATAATCATTTATCAGTAATCTTGCCATTTTTAGTAAAAGTTTTGTAACGTTTCTCCAAGGCAATTTTCTTTAATTATCTAAGAAATTTATGTAATAAATAGAATTAAATGATTGTCTTATCTAAAATGCTTAATTATGATTTCATATAATAACTCTATGTGACTGTAATGTAAAGATTGTGAGAATATTCGCTTGTGTTTAAACTGTGTAGAATTTTAATATAAAAACATTATATAAAATCCCATATAAAACTTCAGTTTTATATGTAAGTGAAGGTTAATGTGTATTTTTGAATTTTAATGAATATATCTATGATTATAATTGTTTTAAATGACTTTAAATCTAGTTACAATTGAAATGCATACAAAATAACCTGCGAACAACGGC